ATATACACATGAACTGATGGATGTAACCAAGGTAAAGTCAATGATATGTACATCTGAATTTCTTTTAAGTCTTTCTTCAGAAGCATAAAAAGTGACCTGGACAAAACCTAACAAAATTAAACAAAGGTAATAATCCACCGTAAACAGTAGCAAAATAATTGAACAGCATAAAACTAAAATCCTTACAGAACAAGAAAAGAAACTGGCCGCAAAATTAGGCCAAGTCAGCTTCACTCCCATATTTTCCACCTGCTCTGCCACAATTCTTGTTTGTGTTGTGTATTATAAGCTCACAAGGCAAGAATCCTTTTTTATTAGTTATTCTGTAGAGTGCTATGAACATTGATATATCAGAAGCACAGTGCATAACCCTGTCTTGAGAGGAGCATGAAATTACTTGTTAAAAATTCTGTCATCAGAATTGCATTGTACATGGAGCTGAGGATCTCAGAGCATTCAGTCTTGAGGGACAAAACAATTCTGTTATTTTATTTTATTTTTTTGAGAAAATTTGTCTGGCTCTTACTGGAAATTAAGTAATGTTTTGTAAACATTATTTGATTAAAGAAGGCGTTGTTCACTTGGATGCTGATGTTCCTTCGTGCCACAATCAGGAGAACGCTTTTCCCTGTTAACTGTTCCCTATACACATCCATATTATGTGCAATTTGATGCTATAAAAATAAACAAAAAGATGTTTGAATGTGCACTTAAAAAAAAAACAGTAGGGAACAGATCAGTGAGCAATTTACTTTTTTGGGGTATCTTGAAGATAAACCTTGGTAGTTATCCTGGTTTTCAGATTAATTTCACCCAAGATCACAATTTTCCAGATGAGAGCATTTTTAGTTCAGCTAATTTTTTTTCCTGCATCTTAAAGTTAGTGTTATAATAAAAATCTTTTGCAATCAAACTAAGTTGTATATGTAGCTTGTATGAAGCTAATTGCCAATTAAAATCTAGCAGTGGTTTTGAATATCAAAATATCCCAGATCCAATTTTGCTAAATATATTATCTTGAGAAAAATCTGCTGGTAGAAAAGTATACCTTTTGAAAAGACCAATCAGTGGGCTGGGGAAAAGAGAATTCAAGACTTTGAGTCAATCAGACCGAAGTTTGTTTTTAGTTTTCTGTCTGCCTTAAGCATCCTTCCTTGTTTGAAAAACTTCCCCTTCTTGAGGGCCCTTGTTCAACTCTAGTCTGGCCAACTGTAGAAATCAGTTTCGAGCTGTTCTTCTGCCAGCCTCAGCATTTCTTTAATATTGCCTGTCCAAAATTAGCCAACTACTTTTGGCTGAGTAAATGTCCCGTGTTGCTTTTTCATTACTGTGCTGGAAATACAACTTTTTGCAGAACACTTTATTAAAAACAAACAAGCCTTCCTCCTCTGAGAAAGTATATGGACAACACTTTCACAAAAGCCTAAAATTTCTTGAGTGTTTTCTTTAGACTGTAACATCTTTAAAAAATGTTAAATTTGTATCTTGCACATTAGGTTGGGTCTGTGCTTTGAGTAATGCTGTAAAGTAGGTTCAGTTAATTTGAGACACTTAATTCAATGGCCTACTTTTAACAATTGTTAGGTTTGTATTTAATGTGCTGTTTTGGTTTGTTTGTTTTGCTAATTAAGTTATTTCCTTGTTTCAATATTGTGCTTATTTTTTTTGAAACATCTGAATAAGAAATTATTTTTGTTATCTGAAATTACTGTTGGAAGAGCGATTGCATTGTCTTTTTTGTTGGTCTTTAAACAAGATACCTAGAATTGAAATCAAACTACAGGGACATCACAGTCAAGAATTACTATTATGTTTACATTCTCTTCTAAAAGATAAATAAAATATACCTGTAGAGCTGTGGTATTTATTTTTATATCTGCATATCATCAAATTCACCTGTTACAAGATGCCATAATATTACCTAGGGTACCAAGGAATCAGTTCCTTAGCACACTAGGCAAGTGGTGGCTAACCTTTTTTGGCTCCCGTGCCAGAAGGCAATGCGCACACAATCCTCCTCACGCACTGTGCAACTTTGTGCATGCACATGCAATTCCCCTTGCGCGCCATGCATCTGTGCATGCATGCACAATTCCCCTCACGTGCAGTGCATCCCTGTGCATGCGCGCACGTCACACACACACACCCTCTGCCCCCTGCACATGCATGCCAGATACCTGACAATCAGCTGTTGGGTGGCGACGCGCACACGCATGCAGTGTGGCTCTTCTGGGCAACCTCTTGCGTGCCGGGGAAAATGGCTCTGCATGCCACTTCCGGCACGCGTGGCATAGGTTCGCCAACACAGCTCTAGGCAAAACAGGAACATTGGCAGGATTACGAGTAAACAACGTATTTAGGGAATGTGCTCAGATAACTTTTGTGAAAGTGTTAAAAATATAAAACACGGGTAAGGATCATTCCCTATCAATCACTGGAACATCTGGGAAATCATTTTAACTTCACCCTGGCAGGCCCCTTGTTCCTTCACAAGAAATATGCATTATAACTCTCCCAATATCTAGATGTCCCTTCATCTCTTGGCTAAAGAATTCTTAGCCCATCTACCAACTACTTGTTTCTCCTTTTTTCCTTTCCTGTCCTCTGAGCACTATCCTCAGTTGCAGAATATGAACGTGATTGAAGGCATCCCTCTTTGGGGAGACTATTGCTGTTCTCAGTTGAACAAAGAGCTCCTGATGTTTTACGATTACCCAGCAAATCAGAAATAGCCTTCCTAACAACACTGTTAGAATGTTCAAAGCACAAACATAGTTTTCACCTGTTGTGTCATTATATAATGGGATTGAATGGAAGTTGCATTTTGTAGAGTGCTATTCATGCCTTTCAAAAGATACTAGAGTGCCACCCCAAAATATGAAATAAAAACACTCTAAAACCCAAACAGAGCATTGGTTATGGACAGGGGGATTGACCCTGTTTGATCCCATTGCAGCTGGAAAGGGCATGGCTTCCACAGAAGAGCTTCTCTTTGTCTCAATGGCTTCATCAGCATTGGAGGGAATGTGCTGCCAGCTCAGGAAGGTGCAATTTCTTTCACTTAGTGAACAGCCACCTTTCATTGCCAAGTGCTAAAACAAGAACCAGGCAGAGGAAAGAATCAAGAGATGAGGCATCACCGACCAGGAAACCAAGGCAAACAGCTGGTGTGGAGCAGGATAAAATAGCTGATATTATCAATAATTCATCCACAGATGTGTACATGCCCAAATTTGCAGTCACATTCTCCTATCTCCACTATCTGTTGGTTTATTTAGTATGATAAAAACACATTTCAGAGGCATCATGATTTGCAGCTGCCCTCCTTGTATCTGTTTATCCAGGGAAAGTCACTGTTCTTGCCAAATGTAAAGATACCTTTAAATATATGCTTCCCCCAAATTCCCTGGGTACGTTTCTTGTTTTCCAGGATGCCTGTGGTAACCTTTCAATAATGTAACTGCAGAATACTAGCAAAAGTGAGCAGGAAACAATTTCAACAAATGATATAGGATGTTTTTATTGACAAAAGCTGTAATACTGGGAGTGCGTAGACATAAATTCAGTTGACCACGAGATGATTGAGGTTATGCTTGCTGAAGCATCTTACCCTGGCTGGATTGTGTCTTGAAAATGTACTTATTATGAAGGGAATTTGCAGGAAGGCTTCAACAATCTATTCCCATTGGCTCACTTTTATATTCAGCCAGTTAAGGTTTTGGGAGAAGATGTTACATGAGATGAATAATCCTTGGATTTTATTTATTTATTTTTTGCATACTTGGATATACATCATTTGCTTCATTTCCGGTCTTTAACATTCTCACCCAAACCTCTAAAATACTCCTTTCCACATTCCCTCATTTTAGTTTCATCCCAGACCATTTCATCACTTTTATTTTTAATATTCACATTGTTGGTAATGGTTTGTTTAATCTATTTCATCCATTTCCAAACCAATTCTTTTGTTTCCATCAAAATCACTCTATCTTATTTTTGATTCTTTTAATTTAATCATTTTTAACTTTTATCTTCTGCAGCTTTTTCTTTATATATTTCAAATAGCTTTCCTCATTGTTTTTTTTTTTGCAGCAATCATGCTGTGAAATGTGCTTTTCCTCATCCACAGCATTTTTGTCTGCATTTCTTCTATCAAATGACTCATTGGAAATAAATTATGCAAAGAGCCTCAGGACTCTGTCTATTTGCTTTATCTGTCAACAGGATAACACTCCAGAAATGAAACCGACCAGTACCGAGCTAAGCATGACATTAAGTTAGCATTCATTCAGTTATTTACACTTGCTTTTCTTCCATATGCATTTTCCTCCAAGATCTATTCTGGATGCTGCCAAAGGTTGCCTTTTTAACATTCCGTACCTCTCACCATTATGTCCTTGTATTGTTCAATTAATTTTTCATCACAAACAACCAACTCATCTCTATTAAACAATTGGAGGAGAAGAGTCCACATTTCATGCTGGTTCAGTTTTTTGCCAACTCCTAGGTGTTGAATCCAGCCACTACCCCAGCAGTGAGGCAAGGCAGTGTAGGGGCTAAAAGATGTGCATCTATCATCAAGAACAGGCTTCTATGAATTAAAAAATGCCTCCAAAATACCATAGGATTGCAATCTGAACTAAAATGTGAATATAAAAATCCACAGCAGTTTAGACAAGCTGATCAGCAAAAAAGAGAAGCACACAGTAACAGCAGAAATGTGAATAAGACACTGGTTTACTGAGTTTCAACACTGATATTTTATTATAAAAATGTTAACTTTAGAAGGTTTTCTCATCCAAACCAAGTTTTCTATTACAATAATAAAGACAAAAGCCCTCTGGTTTTCCCCTTTGGGGTGTCTGCACTTGGCAGAGTTAATGAAGACATAGGTCCCATTGTCTCAGGGTAAGCAGTATATTCCATATAAAAAGTTATGCCCAAAATAAAAGGGTTGATTTGGTATATGGACTGTTCTACAGTCCAATTTTATTTTTAAAAAACTTTTAAACCCACACATTTACTCTGATTTATAGAATTAAAAGCAAACGTGTTTATATAAAAAGGTGCTGTGACCCATTAAAATCACCCCCTTGTGTCCTTAATAAGCAAAAATGACATTGTAAGTAACCTGGTGGCCGTTGTCCCAAGCATAAAGGAGCCGATCCTTGGGGTTGTAGTCTATCTGAGTGGTGTAGGAATACTCATTCTCAAAGAGCAGGCGAGGGATAATCTGGGTATTGGTGTGCGTGTCGAATGCATATGAAATATTGGCATTTCTCTTGTTGTAGCTGTCAACAGCATAGAGGACACCGCAGATGACAAAGGAGTTGCCATAGAAGTTCTTCCGTAGACCCGTCTGCCAGGTGGTCTCCTTACGGGTGCTCAGATCCATGGCATTGAGTTTGCTGAGGACAATCACCTCTTGGTTGAAGCTATCATAATTAATGGCGGGATAAATGATCCATAGGCCATTTTCATCCACAGCAAAATCTACATCTGAATGGCCGCGCCACCGCCAAGGGGTCTCCTCCTCATAGGCTACATCATGCAACATGGCCCAGGCAGCCACGTAGCGCTGCTTTAGGTCATACTTAATGAGGTTGCGGGTGAAGGCTCGGTTGTAGTAGAGAGAACCATTAAAGACAGCATGGCCTGTTCCCATCCAACTGTAGGGCAACTTGTACGAGTTACTCCATCGGCCTAGGAAACAGATGGTATAATAATTTAAACAGCACAGTTGATCCTAATCCTACTTGCACATATGTTTCCTGTGAAGATTCCAACAGAGACATTCTACCCACTGCTTAGTGGCAGCTGTTCAGGATTTAGGCAGATGTCAAAGATTAAATCTGGAGATTTACTCATGTGTTACTGAACTCTTAATCTGGAACATACTAACTAGATGTGAAATTTATTCTCCCACATTTTCTTCTGTAGATTTTATCATTCGAGTTTCAGTATTTCTTTTTTCAGTATTCTGTACATCTGCAGTGTATCTGCTATTTTGTATGCTTTCAGTTTTTAAAAATCTGTTAACAGTAAGCATATCCGCCTTGTGGCATACAAAGTATTTTAATATATAGCCATGGATAGTTTATATGACTCTTGCCAAAAGTGAAGACATCACCATATGCAAATAAATCTAAAGCACTTAAAATTAAAGATAAAGCACCACAAATTTTGCATTCAAAATTTAACAGATTTCAAACAGTTTGTCCATTAATAGAAAATCCATTTAGCTCCCCTATGTTTGTTATAGGGGGAAACTGGATTGATGCCGAAGTGCTGTATTTGGCATATACCCATTGTGGGCTTAATTTTCTACAAGTAGTTCTGGGACAGGGATTTATGTTGCTAAGCACCGTGGTCATAAGGCACAATGTCACATGACCACATCATTTAACAATGGCAATCCTGGCACTCCCCATGGCCATCATTACCTGAATTCCACCCACCCTGAGCCAAGCCATTCTGGGTTTGGTCCCTCCTACTCCTGAGCCTGGGTAGAATAATGGACTGCATCCTCTGGAACTCTCCCCACCTGCTTATCTCCCCACCATATCTTAGTGCTTTTGGCTGCCTGCCTGCCCAATGCTGGTAGCTGGAAGCTGCCCCAACCCTGTTTGTACACCAGCCAGGGCCGCCATCTTTGCATCAGGTAGAGGTTGTTGTTGTTTTTCTGCAAAAGAGGCCCAGCCCATGAAAGACAGCTCCAGCACAAAAAAGCACCAACTGAGGAGCCCTAGCTGGTGTTCAAAGTGAGAACTACCTGTAATGTATTTTTTATTTCACAGATTTCTAAGACTTTTGATCCCAAGCTCATTTTAATTGCCCTTTCTCCAAATGCTTGTGCTTGTAATAATTCAATTTTCCATCTAAACCATTCAACAGATGCATCAAATCTCCCCTGACCTCCCAACCCAGTATTCTTCTCTTCCGTAAGTTATCTTCTCTGGCAATTCACCCCATAGTACAAAGCAAACATAAAACCTTGTCTGAAGCTGTCCAGATTCCGGAATTCCACCAATGTATTGCCATAATAATAGTTGGTGACATAGATTCGCTCATCTTTGGCAACTGGATCCTTCATCCAAGCACCTTCATTCCGCCCATAAGTATTCTGAATTACTGGCCCAGTAATAGTGGACAAAGTGTCCTTGCATTGACCTGAAAAACAAAGAATGTTTAGAACTTCCTAGGTATATGAAAAGGCTTTAAGGTGCGCTAGCTTTTCTCTTTACACACACACACACACACACACACACACACACACACACACAACACACACACAGAGGGAGGGACGGAGGGAGGGAGGGAGAGAGAGAGAATATAGAGATTGCTCCACTATAAACAAGTCTGGGTGGCTGACACTTTAAAGGCAACAGTAACAAAGATAACAATCATGTGTGTCCAGAAGTAAACCATTCAAAAACAAGCCATCCTGTAGGGGCTTAATAACTGCTTTAACTCCAAGATGTCTGATGCTATCCTTTCCAGAGGTAGGTGCTGCTTCCCAAGACCCACATATGACATTATTTAATCAAGGGGACCTGGAAATATCTGATCTGCCTGATTTTCCTAAGTGTTTCCTTGAATAACCAGGCTATGACATGTGGAACTTAATAGGTGATAACCAGAACCTTGAACTGCATCCAGAAGCAACTGATGTGACATGGATACGCCATGGAATGACCATTACTGTCTGTACTGCTACTAGTGTAGTTTCTGAGTGGTCTTAATGGCAGCCGCACGTGGGATACATTGCAATAATCCATTCATGAGATGACTAGGATCTTGTGTGATCTTCTTGAACAGCCTCCCAATCCAGGGATGGATTTCAGTAATGCACTAGTTTGCTCTTTGCAGAGGCCCCCTAGGCCAGGGGTCACCAACCTTTTGGACCTCAGAGACCACCAAACTCATAATTTTAAATCCCACAGACCACTAATATGCATTTTGACTGATGGTGGCTTGCTGACGCTGGTGAGAAAGTCAGTTCCATATTCCAGAGCTGTAGCAGTCACAAGACTGGCCATCATTTGGTCATCCTGGAACAGTTGCTCCTCCACCCGGGTGCACCGGCCTGCCGTGGACTGGAGGAACTGCTCCGGGATGACCAAAGGGCCAGTCCTGGGACTACTGCAGCTCTGGAATATGGGACCGACTTTTTCACCAACAGCAGAAAGCCACCCCAGGGTGGATTTCCCTCCCCCACCAATGGTTTTAGCTTCCAGTTCTAGCTCGTATGGCTCTATTCAAGGTAAGATTTGCACTCAGCCGAAGGTTGGGGGCCAGGGGTGAGTGGGCCATGGCCATGTAGGCGGCACAGCCTTGTGTTCCTGTGCAGCTTGGATTAATTGCTTTGGGGGGAGTGCTTTGGCGGGGACATTTATCTGCAGACTACCAAAATTTTCTCACGGACCATCAGTGGTCCCTGGCCCACTGGTTGGTGAGCACTGTTCTAGGCCACAGCCGGCATCTGCTCTTTGAGCAGGACCTTAAAGTCCAAGACCAGATCAGACTTGACTGAAGAAACATACCCACCAAACTTAAAAGATGGAAAGTCCCCAAGACTAAAGGGCCAAAATATACACAGCTACTCAGTCCAGTCAGGACTGAGCCTGAGGCTGTCCTCATGCAGCCTCTAGATACTGGGACACACATAGACAGTATCACTTGGATCTCCCAGGGTCAAAATATATAATTGGGTGTCATCAGCATACTGATGACCTTGTGAATCAACAAATGATCTCATTCAGTGATTTCATGTAGATGTGTATTTATTTATTGAACTTTTATGGATTACTATCATGCACAATAAGCCTATGCATAACAAAACAAATAAAAAAGCAATAAAACAACTGTATCAAACTTACAAAGGAGCACACCATACTTCCCACTATTGTGCCATCACATCCCATCAAACCTAAATATGCTGGAACAATCCCAGAAAACTGAGGAGAACCACTACAATATGGCATCACTCTACTCTCAATCCCCACAGCCACTTCAGAAAGAGACTTTGATCAATAGAATCAAAAGCACTGAGGATCAAGGAGAACAAGAAAGAACATATTGTTCCCACCCCAGCTCTGCCAAAGATCATAAAAAAGCATGATGCTGCTTGAAACCTGACTGAAATGGGTCAGATAATTGATCTGATTGATCCAAGATCCTCTGGGGCTGTTGCCCAATCATATCAACAACTTTTCCAAAAGAGGGAAGATTTGAGATTGGACAAAATTGTCCAGGACTGTTGGGTTCAGCAATAACTTCTTGAGGAGGAGCCCACAATCATTTCTTTCATGGTTGAAGGAATCACTCTGTCTCTCAAAGAAACTCATCACTGTATGAACCATATGGACCCAATTTCAGGTCATTCCCCGCTGCCCACAGGCAGCCTTAACAATCTGGGGGTGAGCCTGGATGACAGGTAATCAAGTGCATAGTTTGAAAGACCCTATCCATATCACAGTATCCAATCCACTCAACGCAAAACTGTGCCCGAGCATCTCAGCCAGACTTACCCAAATGATAGCCACCTCTGAGTGGATTTGAGAAATGTTATCTGCCAGAAAGCTTAAATATACCTTACAGTGCTTATATAAATTTCCAGTATTTGTCCTTCCCCAGCAAGGAATTAGTCATCTTAAACAGAGTCACTAGACTCTGTCAGTGGATTCAATAAAATGGCAAAACAAAAAAAACCATTTCACCTCTTTCCATCATTCTGTAATCTAGCCCAAACTGAATATTGCTTGGTGATCAATTGCAATCCCTGGAATTAACAATCTCCAGATCTCTTGCCGTGAAATCAAGTAGATTAGGCAAGGATGGTGCTGGGCAGCAGGGAATGCAGTACATCAGCAGCGATTACTATTGTACCTTATAACCTGATTTCAACCAAGGATGCGGCATTCAGTTATCTGCAGCACAGACTTTAGTAGATAAGTATTAATAACGTGCCCTCCAGCCAGCTCTAGGATAGAAATCCTGAAAACTGGGTGCACACATTTCAGGAGAAATGGTGGGCAGAGACAGTCTACCATCTTTTCTTTGCAGTCCCAACCTGTAACCATTTCTTCCCATAAATAAACATACCAAAGGTATGGGAACTGATTAATAATACATTTTAGTGATAAGTGCCTAAGCAAGAATATATTAATAAACAGAACGATGATGGCACAAAAGATAGTCAAAGACAATGTCTAGACTCTAAATCTTTTAAAGTAGAGGCATCACAAGTTGCTAGTACCAAATTCTAGGACTGACTAATAGAACAAAAGGGTAGTGAGCAACAGCGGTCTTGAACCAGACATTTTGCCTTTTGATAATTTATATGTTTATTTTAGTTCTGGCCAATTAAAAAAAAAATGACTTTCCTCATATAATACGGGGTTTTCCCACACAGTAAGGGAAATTTTTAAAATAAGTAGGGCCACCTAATTCTCAGAATAAGGAGAACTATAGTATGATGGTTTTTGGTAGTGTCCATGGGGTTTGGAGTGGGTTGTCATTTCCTTCTCCAGTCGATCACATTTTGTCAGAACTCTCTGCTATGACCTGTCCGTCTTGGGTGGCCCTGCACAGCATAGCTCATAGCTTCATTGAGCTATGCAAGCCCCTTCACCACGACAAAGCAGTAACCCATGAAGGGGCTGAAACTCAAATACTTTGGTCACCTAATGAGAAGGAAGGACTCGCTGGAGAAGAGCCTAATGGGAAAGATTGAGGGCAATAGAAGAAGGGGACAACAGAGAATGAGGTGGCTGGATGGAGTCACTGAAGCAGTCGGCGTGAACTTAAATGGACTCCAGGGGTGGTAGAGGACAGGAAGGCCTGAAGGAACACTGTCCATGGGGTCGTGATGGGTCACACATGACTTCGCAACTAACAACAACATAGTATGATGCACAGATAAATCTCTAGCCCTGTTTTTTGAAAACCTGGGGCAATCAACCGGGCCCACTGATTTCATGAATAGAAATAAAAGGCCAAAAAAAAACCCAACCCAGATAGTTCCAGGTTACGTCAACCTCTGCCCAATTCATTCATCTATTCCTCTAGAAAACAAACTTTATCTCGCAAAGATAAAGTAAAAACAAACATTCAGTATAAGTCTGGATTTCATAAACTACAATAAGAAAGCAGAAAAATGTGATTTAAGACCAGCGGAGACCCAAACATAATAGAGGGCAACTATTTAGATTTCATGGAAACAATACTGTATTAAGGAGAAAAGCCTCTGATCTTCCGGGGCAGCACTTGTGTTCTTGTGTCATAACAGGGGCCTCTTTAACCCTGTCCCTGGGACACTGAGTCTGCTTCAGATTCTTCCTCTGATTCATCAGGCTCTGTCCCAATGCTGTCTCTACCCATCATGCTTTTTAACCCAAGAATTCGTCTCTGCAGTCCTTGACATCATCCATTCAATAGAGAATTTAATACTGTTTTACTTATAATTTATTTAAGTCCCCTTCTATTGATTTGGCCCAAAGTAAGAGCTTTCTTTATACCTGTTGTGGTTAGCCAGCAGTAGTGCAGATGGCTGAGGAGAGCGAGGACTCATATGAGGGGCCAGGACCATTAGGGAGTGGACTGCTACCTTCAGAGATTGTGGGGGCTGGCAGCGGTGATGAGGAGGTTCCCGAGAAACCTGTGCCAAGTGCGCGTGCATGCAGGATTGCTTGCAGGAAAGAGCAGCTGCAACAGCACGGGCAACTCCGGAGTAAGGCTGCAAGGTAATGGCCCCTCCTTCAAGAAGATAAAAGCCAGCTGTGAACGAACATACTTTGCAGATGGCAAAGACGTTTTGAACACAGCCTCGTGGACATTAAGTTGATATTTGAAGACTCTTGTAAACTATTTCTTATCTGTTGTGTTTTTGGCAGCCTTGAAAAAACTTTGCAAGACTCTTTCTTGTCGGAGCTAATTAGTTGGAAGCAGCCTTTTATCTGTGAAGAAACAGGATTCTTAGCTGAAACATAAAAAAGTTATATTGCTACCTTTGTCTTGTGTTTGCTCTCTTGGAACCAGGTTTGGGTCAGAACAATACCATTCTAATGTTATCCAAGTTACTAGTAATGAAATAAGATAAATGGGAAGGGAAAAGAAAACAAACTCACCAATGCTGTTTCTGATATCTTCCTCATCGAGGTTATATTTCGGTGTGACAGTAAGGTTAGGATTCACAGAGGCTGGAGAGGTCACAGTTTTGCTCATGGTAGGCTCAGACGTCATTTGTATGTGGAAATCTTTTGTGGTTATGCTAATTATGGGTGCCCCTATAGTAGCTGTGTCCTGTTCTGCTGTAGTTGTGATTGTGGGAGCCTGAGTGGCAATCTGAGACAGTGTTTTCAAGGTCCACGTGGTATTTTTATATGCTGCCCCAGTTACTGGAAATTCAGCTGTTGCTGTGGTCTCTGGGATTTGGGTAGTAGAAATAACTGATGAGGTAGTGACTGTGGTTGATTCTAGAGGAAGCACCCTGTCTGTGGAAGACATTGGTGATTCTGTTATTGTGCTAATGTTCGCAGGCATTTCTTTTCCATGGGGTGCAGTGCTTGTAACATGCGCCTTCAGGAGTTGAATATCATCGTGTAAAAGCAGATCTTCCATAGGTGGTGGTTTCCTTGAAGGGACATTTGACAGGTAGTTGTGATGCAAAAGCTGGTCCTCAATCAGCAAATCTATAGTATCACCACTGAAGGACTCTTCTTCTGCTAAAACACATATTTTTTAAGTATTACATTTTTATCAATTATACAGTTATAATTGATAATAAAATGTGAAATATAAAATATTTTTAAAACTCTACATATGTTACATTAAAATCATTTTGATATATTTATTCCCTGGAATTAAATACTTTATAATGAGATGACCACTTTACTGAATTTGGTTTGATTTATTATTCCTAATTTACCAGCTACAGTTAGACAGTCAGAAACTTTAATACCTGGAAATATTACAGAAAAATAGATCTCTCTGTCCTCCTCAAATCCATTCACAAACCAAAAGGGCAAGACACCCTGTCACCACTAAATTAGTTAAACTGAAGATTTAACTGCACTTAATCTCCCCCTGAGGGATAGGAATGGATGTGTTGCAAAATCATTTTTCCCAAACTTTCCAGGCATTGCCAGTCTCCAAGCAAAAGTCATCCATCAGTTTGATCACTCTGGATTCAATTTCAAATGGAAAGACATCATTGTGTTCTTCGGGACTTCTGGAGAAGCCACCAACATCATCATCTCCTTTTTCAAACATGAAAGGTTAAAAATTGGTCTGTAATTGCCCATCTTTGAAACATCCAATACAAATTTCATAAGACAGGTGTTGTAACTGTCAGCTTTATACAAAGAGGCATTTTACCCACTCCCTCGCAGAGGTGTTTGTAATACTAATGAAATCAAGACTGGAGGAATGAACATATGTGAGCTAGTAAAAGCAAATGTCATCTTTCGGATCAGTTGCTTGGCAGAGAAGAGGAAGTTAAGAAGCAGGATCCAGCTTTCCTTCAACAGCTGATTGGCAGCCTTCCAGCTTTGTTTAGTAGACAAAAACACTTGTCCACTAAACACAGCTGGAGAATTATTGCATAGATAATTGATTGCAAAATCTCCTTCAGGATATATTTAAAGCAACTGAGTTGGGTCATGTATGAATATATGCTTAATTCTCTGAATTCTGAATTGCATTTAAAATATAGAGACACAAGTAGATAAAGCCAAAATAGGATCTGGGATGAAATGTGGAGGCGACATAATCCAGCTCCAAGTTACGAAGCAAAAACACCTGCTTGCTCCAAGCTGCCTGCAGTCTAGTCCACAGAGTGACAGCGACAAAGAGCAGATGCACTGAAAAAGGGACTTTGCAGAGTAGAAAGCACCATATGTTCAACAGCAAATGATTCATGTCAGGGACATGAACATGCAGTCATGCACACCAAACATTCTCACCCTCTAACTGGGATAATTGACCAAATGGAAAGGTTAATCTCTAAATCCCAGGCTCTAAATTGGACGGAAGCCCTAGCAGCGCAATTCATACCACATAATATAATCTATACTGCATCAACAACTGAATAAGTCTGAGATCACAACTTAGGAAGTGAAGACAGTGGCTGATTTCAAAAGCCCACCCTGAGACTCATTTACATGTGTTCATTTGTTTAGTAAAACTGTTTCTAAGAATATAATTTTCAAGCCACATGGTATTTTAGGCCCATTCCTTGGCTCATACACACAAACTTTTCTTATCAGTCTTGAACACTTTAGTCTTGCCAAAAAGTTTTTAACTATTATATTTTTTTAAAAAATGTATCAGTGATATCAAATTAAAATAATTTAAGAATTAGGAAAAGCTATCTAACAAAATTTTATTAAAGTGCAGTTTCCAAAATTATAAAAATTATGTTTTTTTTTTTAAAAAACATTAACTCACGTTCTTCAAGGTCATTTTCTGTTTCAGCATCTTTGGCCTTATAGTATGTGATTTCTCGGACAACATTCTGTTGGGTGGGAGGCCTGCTCCTCACGTGAAGTTTTCTTGCTGAAACTGCCTGTGGATTCATTGCCCCTGTAGCTGGGAGGGCATAATGCAACGACTCAGCAGAGCTTATATGCCGAGAAGCCTTTTCATCATGTACAAAAACTTCTTCATATTTTTCCTTTAAGAAACCAAAATTGTTAAAATTATAACCTTCTTAAACTTATCTCAGGGGACACATCCATGAATTGGAAAACCTCCAAAAGTCCTTCCCATCAGTGGTAGGATTCAATTATTTTTACTACCGGTTCTGTGGATGTGGCTTGGTGGGCATGGTGTGGCTTGGTGGACGTGGCAGGGGAAGGATACTGCATAATCTCCATTCCCTCCCCACCTTAATAACATGCTTTCCAGCTCCGTTCTCCTGTGCAGGGCAACAAAAGAAGTCCCAACCGATCAGCTGGGACTCGGGAGGCAGAGCCAGTCAGAGGTGGTATTTGCCAGTTCTCTGAACTACTCAAAATTTCCACTACCGGTTCTCCAGAACTGGTCAAAACCTGCTGAATACCACCTCTCCTTCCCACCCATTATCCTCTTTTGGTGGCAACCCAAATTGCCTAAAGGCCACCAGAATAGGTTTAAACTAACTTCTCTTTGGAAGGAACATGAAGACAGTCTGTTTGGCATTTCCACCAAGCAAATTTTGTAATGGTTTAACATACCGGGATTTCTGAAGCATCCTATGACCACATTAAAAAGGATGCTTTTAGATATCTATCAATACCAATTAGTCCTAGAAATATAGTAATGCAGGTGGTATTACATCAGTGGTGGGAGGCTACCGGTTCTGACTGGTTCTAGCAAACCGGTAGTTCTGACCATCAGCTGACCCCGCCCACCTGCCCCCTTTATTTCCTTCTTTCTGGCTCAGTTGATTCATGCAACACAGCTGATTTCCACGCCTCAGCTGTTCTACTTACTGGGGCTACTCTAAAAGGTAAGCATTTTGAGCTTCAAATTGGTGTATTTTGAATACTGTGCGCGCACACAAAGCATGTGCTTGCAAAAACGGTTGTTAAACCGGTTGCAAACCACCACTGATTACACCAAAATAAAAAATCTAGTATTATTCTCCAGCTGCAGTTTCCCAGAACTCTTTAACAATACTGTGTTGCAGTAATCCAGCAGAACTATTCTTGAGGCTAGTTTCTCCTGTACTTTCCTCTGTATGCATTTGATGAGAAAAGTATCACTGTGTATCATATAAGTTAGGGAAACCAGAGTTGTACCAATGAATTAATTTGAACAACTTATTTCTCTTTTCTCTTAGAAATCAGCAAAGACATAGACATTGATTAGATAAGGCTAAATAAAATGAAATCCAACTAAAGCAAGAGTGAGGTAAATTTGTTGCAGATCCTTCTGACTTGCCAGTTGCAAGTTGCTTTAACAACCACACAGCATCTGTATTAGACTTTACTCTTATCAGTTTAACATGGTGCACAAATTCTATTCTCCTAGGCAAAAGCAGCTTGTCAACGTCATGCCCTAAAAATAATAAGGTTTGTTGGTATCCTCTTTTCATTATTAATATTTTAGGTTTGGGTTTTTTTGAATTTTAAATTTTCTATTTGTGTTTCATAGGTCTGGAATCATAAATAAGTCAAAGGGTTTGGGAATTAAATGCCTGTTGTCTAATTTTCTGATAAGCTGACAGCATCTGTGACCAACATCTTCAAAAGCTAAGGGAACTGCTCGGTATTAGAATTCTGCTGTTTGATCTTTCATCCAAACTAATCTGTAATTGGATTATTTTGTGGGAATCAAAGAAAAGTTATTCTAGACTGATTCTTTGTCTGGGTGATTTTTTAAATTCCCTTTTGTGAAGAAATCTGAAAGGAAACTGATTTTTGTTTGCCTGATTTTGAGACAGACTATAGCTATGTGTTTCTCTGGGTTAGGCTGCTGAAAAAAATCCCTTTGTTGATGGTTAATTAAAGATTGTTTGATATTGGTACAATGTAAAGCCACAATCCAGTTTTGGTTGATTGATCCTTAAACTCTCTTCCTTCTTGTTAAAGTTGTTAGAATATTTGTAAATCTCAATGGCTTTTCAATGCAACCATATAGCATCGTGGTTGCTAGTACCTGTGTATGGCTTTAAACTGGATTTTATGTCCTTTATGTAGCAATGCATATTCTGATTTGTCAGGTTGTTCTAATTGGCAATCCTTTCATGTTACTTTAATTGGGTATTAATACCATGTTTTGCGGATCCAAGATAAATCTGGCAAAAATTGCAAGGGATAAAGTAAAGTAATGACAAGAGTAGACCTCTACTTTCCTGAAGTAATTGAAATAATTTTTTGGACTTTTTGTTGGTTTATAAATGGTTATTTAAAAAGTTATGCTTTTCAATGATTTACCAGTTTGATCTGTAACTTTCTCAGTTTTAAGGAAGAAAGACATTTCCCAGCGGGAGTGGGTTGTCCTTAGATGTATATTCAATGTTATTTTTATTGCTGGAGCACACAGCTTGCCTGATTCCCCTGGAACAATATCCATTACCGTGTAAGCATTGGCAAGATGGCTAAACCCATCTGACAATCTGCCAGCTCAGGGATATGTCTGGCAGAGGCACTAACATTTTTGATTATGGTTGTCTTTTGGCGGGACCAATGGTTAGAATTTTTATGTAGATAGAAATATGTGTTCATTGTCTTTTGATATACTGTAAGCCCTACTTTTCCTTGACTGATCAAAATATTAAAAAATGCAAGTTGCCTATATTGTCCAATCTCCATAGTAAACTGAATATTATAGGTGATAATATTTAGATGGTCTAGAAATTCACTGTGTTTTTTCTCACCCTGACTCTAAATCACATCCACCTACAGAAATCCAAAGGGTAGGTTCAAAAGCACAGAATCCAGTTCCCATTGCTCAAAAAAAAAAATTGCCTGTAATTGGACTTAGCGGGCTCCTCACCGAACTGTATATTTTAAAATGAGGGCAACAGAATTCTGACTTCATTTGTAAGGGATATTTCTAATGTTTGGAGGAGGTGGAATAGAAATCTGATTGAGTTGTGTGCCTTACCTCTGTGAGTGTATAAGCTGCTGCAGCATCCCTCTGCAATGAACTCTGGCTATCAGCATGGTTGTTGGAAGAATTAATTGTGCTATCAATATCCACCTCCTGAAAACTTTCTTCTGCATTCTGTCTCTTCTGTTTATTGTCTTTGGTGAGGTTTCTAGACACTTTCTGGAATAAGTTTCAAAAGTGAGAAAGTAAACATCATTTATACCTGGAACATATTCAATACTTTATAATTCGTGTTGGGCAGGGAGGCAATGTAATATCAAAGATCCTCTTGTTTCTGGGTTTTCCTTCTGCCTTCAATGGTCAGTTGTTCCCTTGAATTTCCAGAAACAGGGGGAAAGAGCCCAGTCCAGTCAGTAGCCAGAAAAAGAAAGCATGTAATCACTTTCGTGTTTTAAAAATACACAAAGGTATTAAAGTCACAGAAACGAAGCAGGCAGGACCAATTCAGTTCTACTCAACAACACCTGCTGGTATATTATCCTCCTCCTGCTCAAATTGTAACAGCAGCAGTTCAATACAATATACGGTTAGACCTGGCCCAGTTTAGCAGTAAATGGCACATAATCATCTGTAATTATAATTACAATTATCATATGAACAATAGCAGTTTGAAGTTAATAATTGGCAACAGTATAGATCACCCAGAAAGCTAACTTTATGCTTCCTGAAAGTTTAAGCTCACATCAATAACCATAGCCTATTATTTCCAAAAAGAATCAAGCTCTATTTCTAAAAGGACACCAGATCTATCGATAGTTCCTTTAATTGTTCCCATGGGTCAAACAATGCAATGCCAGGATGTGGCATAGCATTCCTGACAACTGAAGCATCCCTGCATGCTATTGCTTCCTAAATTCAGCATGCAATAACTGCCTAAAATCTTTCAACACATGTTCTCCCTAGGTCTCGGGGACTAGGAAGCCAAACTAATTAACTATTGGTGCATCTCCTGCTACAAAGGAAACGCAGCACAAACAACTTTGCAGCACTTGCCCTGGAGCTGCAGGGTAGGTGGTAATTTTCTATTGGCAGGATTTCCCACTTAACCCCTTCCTGGGATTTCCCTTGGCTCATTTCTAGTGGCCAACTGGAGTTCTTACATTCGGACAGGCTGTGGTGGGTGATTGTTATTCCCTCCCCCTTTGGCCAGTGGGCTGGCAACATGGGATGGTAGAATCCAGCCATGGGTTCATTCACCCAACATTAAAAAAAGTCCGCTATTAAAAGGCGTAAATCCAATGACTGTGTAGAATTACCTGAAGGCTCAAACACACCCCATTATATTGTATATAACTAAACATCTACCCCTCCTACTACATAATTTAACTGCAAAAACTTGATTGTGGCCTTAAAATAATCAAGGACCCTTATGGCATTTTAACCAACAACAGCAATACTTTATCATGAAAGTGTGTGTTTTCTGTTTTGTTATGTGGAAATGGATATTTTATTGTCGATGGGATGAAATGGCTTCTCTAAAAGGCTGCGGTTCCTCCAATTCTAATGGAAGGCAGCAGAAAAATTACTTTTAGATGTGAAAAAAAATATGCAGTTAATCCACAACAGCCATCCTACAGTCAAAAATTAACTCTTAAGAGAACTTTGGGGGGGGGGGGGGAGAGACACCTGAAAAATAACCAACAATTCTCTCCTGGAAATCTGGCCTATTCTTTAAACTCCAAGCTCTTCAGGAAACACTATATATCTTCAACTCCAGCTGCAGTGTAAGACTGGAATACTGTACTGGTCTTCCTTATTGTAACAACTAAATTAATCTAAATTATTGTAACAACTAAACTAAACAGTCTATCTTATATTGTTGCTGTGATTTTTTAAAAATAAACATGCTGATACATAAGCCACTTTTCGTTTGAAGTAGAAAACAGTGCCCAAAGAGACTCACCTTAAATTCTGCTCCCAACCCAGACAGGACTCCAAAAACTGTTTTCTATTGCAAGTCACTCTGTCTCTGGCTCCTCTTAGCCCAAAAAGTGCAATTTGCAGTAAGCACCACTTTCAGGAACAAAAAGTTTTAGAATCATAGGGCTGGAAGGGATCTTGGAGGTCTTCTAGACTAACCCGCTGCCCGAGGCAGATCTTATTGTATTCTGGACAAATAGCTGTTCAATCTTTTTTTTAAGGCTTCCAGTGATGGACCATCCACTACTCTGGATGTGATGCTGCAATTCAGCATATTGTTCCTCTACTAAAGATCCAGGTTACAATTCAGTTTTACTAGGCTATGGGCTTACCAAAACTGCGTATAAAGTTGGAACTGAGTTTTACAGAGTCAGACTGTGGGTCTATCTAATTCATCTCCTATTCTTGCCATCATCTTTTCCCAGGAGTCTTGCCTGTAGCTAGCAGCAAGAGCAAATACAAATATGACAATAAAATATCGAAGTTCAAATTAAAAATAAACAAATATCAATGACAGGAAAATTGCCAAAATACTTTTAAGCAGTGAAAGGAAGCATAATAGCTCCAAGGCTGGACTTGGTGCAGTTCATATAGGGCTCAAAAGCCATCCACGCAGGGACCAGATAAAGATACTTAGGAAGAGAACTCCACAGTCAGCAATTCTTCGGACTTTACTCAGCACAGAAATTGCCTAAAAAGCCGTAAGTGCTTCCCTAGAAGATCATAATAACTAGGCAAGCTCATATGGAAGCCAGCAATTTTCCACAGTGGCTTTGGGCTTTAAGGGGCATAAATAACACTTTGAATTAAACTGAGAAATGGAATGCATGTCCGTGTAGTTATTTTAATAATGGAGTAACATGATCCTCAAAGACATTTCCAGCTAACAATCTGGCTGCTACATTCTGCACCGATTGTAAGTTTCCAGATACTTTGTCAGAGCAAATTGTGCACAGTGCACATTACAATAACCCAACCCAGGTGTACGTTAAGGTATGAGTCACTGTGATTAGATCAGACATCGCTGGGAAAACACACATGCTCCCATCTAAATTGGGCACAAGCATTTTCAACTGTAGCCAGCATCTCTGAATATTGCGGCATTGCCAGTCTGGTGCCCTCTAGATAAATGGACCATTATCTTTGTGAATTGTGAGAATTGGTCCAACACATCTGGTGGATGCCAGACTGGGGAAGACTGGCAAAAAAGTTCAAGGCCCATTTCCACCACAACAGATTGGATTGAGATTCCATTAGGCTTCCATCTTAACTTAACATCCATATATTCTCTGCAGCCAATTGCTATGCAGTGTGTCCAAAACTCAATTCAATCATATGATTCAAATAATCAAAAGATGCCAAATATCAAAAGTCTATCTAGTTCTCATAGTAGGTCCAAATAAAACTATAACTGAGGACAACATAAATTAAAAGGCAGGTGCGCCCATACCCAGCATTGAAAAAAAAACTTGCATTTTCTTATGTCCCACGTATCTATCCATAATTGCACCACTGAAAAGTAGCAGTCAATCATTTCCCACCCATTTTCATCATGAAAGAAGACATATAGTAAAGCTCACATAACTTATACATACTTCATCACTTTTTTTGTAAAAGGTAAATCCTCTCAGAGGAAAAATAAGCCCAAACTGTCCTCTCTAAAATGCACTGTCCAGTCACCATCCAAGTGCCCTGCAGACCTCTAGTGCTTTTTTTTTTTTTAGATTCTCACTCCAAGATATGAGAAGATGTAAAACTAGAATTTGATGTCAAATTTGAAATGGTTTCCCATTGTTAAATGCAGGCTATTGTAGCAGCCTTTTATTTATGGTTGTTACTTGATGAAAAAACAGTTGTTTCATATTTATAGAGTTGTAAAATATGCTTTTAATAACCATGCAGTCAGCAAAACTTCACCTGCTGAATTATTTCCAGATACTCTGGTATTGAAAAAAAAACCCCAGCCGTTTACAGAGATAGTCACCTGTTTAAATTCTCACACTGATGGAGAAGAACTTTTAAGTGGTCAACCTTGACTTGGTCACATTCCGTATTTTGACTGTGAAATATATTTGTATTTATTTCTTTATTTCTTTCTCACATTAGTTTTCAGTAGTTTCTATTACTAATAGTCTTGATTCTCAACATGTTAACCTACATAATTCCCCAACTCAGCACAGTCTTACATACAGTATATCGTTTTTTCAGTCCACAATGTAGATAATTAGTCAGAGGAAGTTTGATTTCTGCATGTCAGCCGTAAAGAGAGGGTTAAAATAATCACTAAAGGAGATGGAATTCATCTTACCTCTTCCAGTTTCTCCACACGACCCACAAGTTTCGTTGTAACAGAATGCAGTTTTAGCAAGTCTAAACCATAGAAAGCATTTTCTAGCATCTCAATGACAGCTGCAAGCTGCAAAACAGATAGTAATACTATGATGATGTAACAGTTATATACTTTAGATTTGCTTTCCATTAATTAGCACACTTTACATACAATTTTAATGAAAGCAGTAAATATAATAGCTCAACTATGACAGTCACTGGACAAGTAACCATAACTTAATCTAACCAGTTGCAGTGGATCTGAGCATCTGAGCAACTGGTACTCTAAACATCAGTAAAGGAACTATATTATTTATTTCAATGTCTTTAACAGTAATATGATCCATAACATAAAAATCACATTTCTTGCTTTTCACATAGAATATTTCTATCCATTATCTACCATAGCACCACTCTGCTGCTACTGCTTCAGTGCCACCGCAATGCCACAATCAGTCATGGTCACACGGTCATCCTTTTCAAAGCTCCCTTCCAGTTTTCCATAAGCAAAGTCTTTGCTTGTGGATGATGAGAGGGAGTGTTGGCAATGGGGAAGGGTCACAAATTGCTTAGGTAAGTCTTCTCCACCTATGTAATTTCCCCAATTTTCACTGTGCCAGCTACTCATGCTTCCCAGCGCACACTGCCTGATCAGTGCTACACCTCTCGCATGCTCCTGCACCCTTCCTGACCACATCGCAACCCCGAATGCCTTCCATAACCCATACAGTATCTTTTGCACATTCCCACACACTCTTCTTGACCCACACTGCAACCCCATGTGCCTTCCCTGACCTGTGTGGGACCCCTCACACATCTCCGTGCACCCTGCCTGGCCTGCACGGCATCTCTTGCACATTCCCGCATAAACTTTCCAACCTGCATTGCGCCTCTGCAAACCCTTCCCAACCCATACCACACCTCCACACACATGGTTTTATACCAGTGGTGGCTAACCTTTTTGGGCTCCTGTGCCAAAAATTGTGAGCGCGCCAGCACGCCAGTACTTGCGTGCCAGCACCCAGAATGCAATGTGTTCTCCCCCTCCACACGCCCCCTGCACATGCCTGAGCAATCCCCACCCCCACACTGTGCCTTACAGCTGATTTTTCGGCTGGTTTGAGGCCTTCTTCAGCCTCCCAGAGGCTTGGAAAAAGCATCTGCAAGGCTTCTCAGGCCAAATTATAGGCCTGTTTCATCACTTCCGGTATTACAGGAAGTGACGAAACGGGCCTATAATTTGTCCTGAGAAGCCTTGCAGATGCTTTTTCCAAGCCTCTGGGAGGCTGAAAAAGGCCTCAAACCAACCAAAAAAAAATCAGCTGTGAGGCACGGGCATTGCGCAATGAGGTAAGTTTGCCTGCAGCTCCCGTCCCAGCACAAATGGCTCTGCGTGCCACTTGTGGCACGTGTGCCATAGGTTCACCATATCGGTTTTAAACGCTTATAAAAATAGAGAAAAGTATATTTCTGTGTTTTTTAAATACATACTTGATCTACTTGGTCACCCTATGAGAGAGAAAAAGACCAGATCAAGAAACTGACTCCATAGGAACACTAGAACAATAACATTTTGACATATAGAGAATCCTGCAAATCTGAAAGGTAAAGTATTTTATCTTTCCTCCCTTTTATAACCTTCTGAGTCAAAGAGGAGCCAGTCTGAGCTCCTTCCTAGTATTAACTTCTCTGCCAGGGTTCAACAAATGGCTCTGCCCTTATTGTTTCTATGATGGTTTTTGAATAACCCCTTCAAGGCCATTTCCATGGCTCTCACCCTCCATCTCCACATTTCTGATCTGGTAGAGCATATGTGCATCTTGTTTTCCAGATATTTAATTAGTTTTGATTAATCCAATCTATTCTAAAATTCTTGGGTTTGTACATAATTCATACATTAATCTTCCAGTGTTATAACTGATCGTTTTCTTTTCAATGCAGACTTGATCCAGCTATGACAATTTAAAATTTCCAAATCAGAAAATATTGCACAGTAACTTTTCTTGTTACTAAATATTTGGAGTACAATAAGAGGCTCTTTTATGCACTTGCAGTTTACACAACAGCTGGAAAACATTATATTAAAAGAAGAACAAGCTCTTCTTTGCCACCTCCACCAATTCCTTCTTTAGGCTAGACAAATTAATAAAGATATTAAATGGCATTGAGAAGTGTTGATGATAAATTGCCTTGAACTGGGTTTGGCAGAAGTACATCCTGAATGGCCTAGTTCTTTGAGTCCTCAGCTTGAGTTCTAGAGCCAAGGATGTTTGCATAACCCTCTTTAAGGAGTTTTTTGAATTGGCCCATTGAAAATTGAAGGAGGCAATCTGAAAATTACAGCTGAACAAAAAAAAAGTTGCCTTTTATTGTGACCTATATAATATTGCACCTGAAACAGCTGCTTTGGTTGCCTTTTCCTTTCTAGCCATGATTGGATGTGCCGGATACAAAGCTCTAAACAACTTGGGAATCAAGATTTGAAGGGAGATACCTGCTCACGCTGATAGAATAGAGAAACCCCTGTCATCATTCCACCATCAGAAGAAGTATATGTTGTGAATTATACTGTGTGAAAAAAATTAGGGACCCATCACCTTATTCTTAACAATACACAAAACTCACCTTTCAACGATCTAGACTGCTCACTACAGGAAGCAGTGGGACCAGTACAGTCAATAAAGGGATAATGACAGGGAGAAGTGAAGTGGTATTTTAAAGAGCGGAAAGTAGTTCAGGAAAAGCTTATAGCAACATGGCAGAGTACCTGTTCCACACCCAGAGGCTCCAGATTCAGTCATTGCTGAACCCTTGACTAGTAAAGGCCTCTCTCTGGGACTTGAGCAGTGGATAAAGTTGGTAGGATCAGCAAAAGGTAGGTGAAAAAAAAGAAATGCAGAGCTAATGAAAAGGAAAGGCTTGAAGGCAGATTAAAAAAAATATGAAAGAAAAGTCACTGTGAACCATTTTGGTCCATCTAATTCTGAATTCAAAATACATGTTCTATGCACAAAATGATAATATTACTTACACACACACACACACAACTTTTCATGCTTTATTATATTATCAGTGGAAGATTCAAATCAAGAACAACCATATTCATAGTTCAGGATAATCACTATGCCATATGTTGTACCATAAAACCAAAGCATCTCCATTGTCACACTGAAATGTTTTTGGACCAAGTGAAAATTTAATTATATAATTTCAAATAATACATGCTGATTTCACAAGTCACTGTAGAATGTAACAAGCTGCTATCCCAGCACAAATTCTCCAGTGTACTGTTCTTCTGGTGTATAAAGACAATAATTCAGTTGTGACCCTCTCAATCATCCATAACATGAAAGTGTAATAGTCACACATTATAAATGTATTGCTTTGAACACTTGCAAAAGCAACAATACTGCTGTCTGCAGCTTTTTGTTCAGTCTGTACAGTCTAAAATCAAATTGCATAATACATTGACAGGCAGGAAAAGTACCATGCTTTTTAAAATCCTCTGGTCTACTATGGCAACAACAGCTTAGTGAAATCATTTTTCTTGCACAAAATGCCTTTTGTTTCACATAGTTCTAAGGATTAGAAGGAGAACTGGTCAGCAATGCTAGACTATCATTTGAAGCAACAGGTACACTTACTAATTTTAAATTCCCAGAACAAATAGGAAGAAACAGGCACTCTTCAACCCTCCAAACTCCTATGTTCTTAAGCTCAATTTCTTCTCTTGGTTGTCAATGCAACCTACTACCAAGTTTAAAAAAAAGGTGGGGTGGCTCAATGGTTGCATTCCAGTTCTAAACGTGTTATGTAAGGAGCCAATATTTTTGACAGATGTTTTACATTTAAATGAAACAAGTAATGTGTTTAAAACTAAGTGGACTTCTACAAACACAGGAAAGAAAGAATATGTTGCTGACCGAGGTTGATTATAATGCATCTAACAGCATGTGTCCACAACTGGCTTTCTAAAGAAGAGATTTCCAAATTCCGCTCCAGGTTCCCAAAAGGCCAAAATACTGCACTGGCAACTTGAAAGGCAGCTACTATTGCCAATCTTCTTTTGAATGGATGTAAGCCTTCCAGAGTTTGCTTTCTTTTCATACAAGTAATCATGAGGTCCACCTTCTGGTCAATGCCTCTAAGTGTGCTATTGAATAGGGTGATTCCTGTTTTCTTTTGAGAAGTCTTTTCTCTGTGGAGAGCTTACTGTTTTGCCATTAACTATACAGGCTCTGAAGCAGGACAAGATAGGATAGGATTACAGTTTTGAAATTAGAAATAAATTGAAACAGAAACCACCATAGAAATAAAGTTTCTATAGCAGGTAAGCAAGGGTTTCTTAGAAGCAAGTGAATTGAAACACGGTTAACTTCTCTCAAGCTCAGAAGGGCAAAGATTACACACCACCATGAGCATAGACGGAGAAAGCAAAACCCAAGCCTGCCATTGCCTCTTCTATCTGGTATGGAGACTTCCCCGGATTCTCTGTAGCAGTGACCCATTCAGAAGGTTCTAAGAAGCAGAATATAATTCTATTTCTTTTGCTGAGGAGAGACATTTATTCCATTGGAAAATGTGGAGAAGAGCATCTAGGATCAAGGGGAGACTCTTTCTCAAACTTGGGAATCCAGCAAGTGCTGGCCTCAGTCCATATAATGCACAGGGGATAGCTTATCATTGCTTTAATCAAAAGAATACCATCCTTCCAAATGTTTATATTTTTAGTTCTAAAGAGGCTCTTTCCGAGGAATATACAACTGACAAATGAGGAAAACGGTTTAAAAATAGATGGATTAAGTGTGAAATAAATTATTTTTGCATTAACAGATCATTGCTGTAGGGAAAGGCATAATTATGCCTTAAAGTAACTACAAATAATTAAAGACTCACCAAAAGTTTGGGGGATTTATATCATTTGCCAACAGAATGGTAAAGTAAGGAAAGGACGTTGGAGTAGGTTTTCATAATGTCCTTCTAGTGACTCTTTCTGAGATGGAATATTGTCCCATGTCACCTGGCTACTCTATTGAAACAGAAGTTAGCTGGTCAAATTGTTAAACGGGTTACAGTTTATTTGAGGCTGCTCACATTTGGAAGGGCTGATGGCTCAAGTTTCGTCATGCCCTTCAAGGACAATGTTGCTGGAGAAACTGTAACAATGATCTCCAGTTACATTTTGGACAGCTAAACATTTATAAGCAGAAAATAAAGAAATACAGCCATGGCCAGAACAAGTACGTGAAGTTGGTTGCTGCCTGCATTTTTGGCTCAGCCTCGCAGAACAGGCTTTCTTTTCCCTAACAGGATAAGCCAAGTAAACATAAGCAGTCACCTGGAGGATCTGTGGTCCCAAGGTGACAGCAACTGGACTCTGCAAACCAAATAAAGCAGAACACTAAACGAACCCTCTGTTTCAGAGTCTGTACCAGATGGGGAGAATAAGAGCTCAAGGGACTGTCCCTGCTTTTATGCTGTGCTTTAGATTTCCCTAAATGGGGCTGTTGCCTCCTAATGCCAATAGCAATTCAATAGGTTCCACTGATGTGATCCAGTAACACAATTCTTAGACTTGTAATATTTCCAAGTTTATAGCTGTTAGGAAAAACATGCTAGTATAGTATCTGATTTTGCAAACCAAGACTAGAGAGAAGAATGTTGAGATGCTTCTTGGCCAGTTCTTTTTTAAAATCAGTTTTTTATTTCCAGCTGAGAAAGGCAGGGAATATTAAAAATGCATTCTGATTTTTTTTTCCGGAAAGATTTTTTTCTTCCCTTTCCCCTTGCTGTTCATCACAGACCTGCTGCATCAATGACACATTGCCACGTACATGATCTCCTTTAGCAGATAATTTCCCACAAGAAATGCAAAATATAAATGATATAAATCTGTTGAGGAAATCAAGTGTAAGGTAAACTGAGCTGAATCTGTAGTGAAACCTTTTGCAGCCAAGAAGTATAAAATGTTTAGATAGCAAGAAGCATATTCACAGAACTGATCAGCACATAATTCGTATTCGTTAATAATATATCTTGGATAATTCAAAGCTCAATATTTATATATACATATATTTAAATAATAATTTAGCTCAGATATAGGAATGCTCCACACTTGAGCATGAAAAAGGATATACAATCATGACTTATCTTTGGATGGCACTTCAACTCAAGATCTTATGAGAGCCAATGTACTGGAATGGTTGCAATGTTGAACTGCAAGTGAAGAGACCAACTTTTTGGGTGCAAATAAATTAGGGAAAGATATATCATACTGATCTCCTTTAGAAACAAAGCAGGGTAATTGTCATAAACTCTGGGATTCATATCTCAGTTTAATATACCATTTTATCTCATCTGCCATGTTCAGGATATTTTGGACTACAGATGTCCTCAACCAGCACATTTTCAGGCCACGTTGGCCAGGAATTCTGGTCCGCAGTATGAATTCAGATTGGAAAAGAGGGTAATATGTAATAGCAGTTCTTAGAATGAAGCCCCTTACTTATTTGTTTGCAGTGTACCCATCTCTCTTGTCCTTCCCTCAGAAATAAGTTTATGCAGTTTGAAAATAATTCTTTGGAGGGCCATGTCTAAAAATGGCAGTACTTATTCAACTGTGACATTGAAGCTGCCACGATCACTCTCTGACAGATGATTTTTGCAAGCAGAAATTACAGGGAGTAACACTCTGCTAATTCTGCTGGATTTCTCAGCCACTTTTACTACTATTGTCCATGGTATCCTTCTGGACCATCTGCTCTTGGCTGTGGGTTGGAGTCACTGTGCTCAATTTTTTTGTTCCTGTTGGATGGCTAATTCCGGAAAGAACTGCTGCTAGACTGACTTTTGAGCTAGGGGGCTTTTCGGGATTTTGATTTTTTTTATCTATTGTTTTCTTTCTGGCAATATGAAATGTGATCAATAAGCTCAATTTCTCCGTTTCAACTGATCCAGCCAAGGTTTGGCATCGGAAGGGATAATATTAATGTTTATGACCAATAATGAGGATTAAGAAATGAAGCTCGATCCAATGGGCAGATTCTGAATATTGGTTCTGATCTATCTGCTCCTTTTATTTTTTTACAGAGTTGAATCTTGATCCTCAAACTAATGTTTCACAAAGACATAAAATAATTACATCCAGTTTGAAATGGTAGCAATTATCTTTAAAGCGTGAGAATTGGATGCTAAAGAACATCGTCTGATGTCCTGATATTTTGGAGTTTGCATCTCAAGAAATGTTTGAAATTCTGGGATTCTCCCCTTTTAATGCTAATTTTAACTTTTAGTTTTATGTCATTTGTATATTTATAGGAACCAGCCTGAAGATTTTTATCTGAAAGACAGAGTACAAACTCCACATTCCCATCAGTGTTTGTATTTATATTCCATTTTATACCTTCCAATTTGCACTCGATTTATTGAACTGCTTAAGCCAAGGACACTGATTTAACCAGAGATTTCTGAATCTGCAGCCTTAGGACTAATGTCAAAAACCCTCTGCGAGCCATAATTGAAACCCATCACTGGCAAGAATGGCCTGGAGGAGCAAGGGAGAAAAACAAGCAACAATGGTAGAAAAGGAGCAGATGGGAAAGTATCTATTCTGGCATCCAGTGAACAGATAGTTTCCTGGGAATTACACCTTCCCTCCCTCTTCTCTAGATCAATGTAAAATCTATCCTTTCAGTCTATCACATCTCCACTTAAACTGCTAAACACCCAAGAATGCACATTTTTGTAAGAAATAAGATTGTTCCATGATGGAATCTTTCCTTGCATATTCAACAAAGGTAAAACATTCATGACTGGAGTGTCTTTTGGGGTCATTATGTAGCATATATCTGTTAGGTCCCCATCCTACTGCACGTGGGAGAATTCAGAGGTACATATTTATTAAGACTGTTGCTCTTCCTGCTCCCAGTAGGCAGAGAGCTGGGAAGGCCAAGGGTCTGTTCACTTCCTGCTAGGTAAGAACAGAACTTCACCATGCAATCTCCACAGCAATAAACTTTGGAGTGCATTTAAAGAGCCACATTCAGAACTAGTTGCTAAGCCCACTGCCAGAGTTTGGTCCCTTGATATTAAGGGATGAGCTGGCTGCAATTATGAAGCTGCAGTCCAACAGCTGAAAGAACAGGTTGGAGAAAGCTGCTCTTCTCACCTGCTGGACAACCAAGCCAAGAGGAAGTACTGCGGCTGCCACTCTAGTTAACCTGATCTTACTGTTTCACAGTTTACGGTTTATAAAATTAACTTGACATTATAATGCTGTGCATCTCATATTATTTTTAATAATTGTTGTTTTAATAGCTAGTGATAGCTACATTATGAGCATAAATGGACTTAAGTGTCATTGGCTTCTTGCTTCCAGGTGTTCCCTGTCCTGCTGAGACTGCATGAACAGACAGACTGGGGCTCTCACACCTCGCCAAGCATTTTATGTGGATTGTTTGGCCTTGACATGGGCTCTCTGAACTGAATCACCCTTGGTTTTATACCAGGGTAATTTAGTAAACAAGCCACATTTTTGAACCGTGGTTTAGCATATAAACCAGATCACAATTTAGGATTTGGACTGCGATTAGGGGAAGCATCTCCAGTTTGCAACTTGCTGGGACAAAATTGGGGAGGAGATTCTTTCATGGCCATGCTGCATGCTCTGGTGTGGACCGGGGGAGGATTGCTACTATGGTATACAGTACAGGTAGTCGTCAACTTATGTTCATTCAGTGACTATCTGAAATTACAACAGCATTGAAAAAAATAACTTATAGCCATTGTTCACATGTACAATATTGCAGAATCCCCACGTGATCAAAATTCAAACGCTTGGCAACTGACCAGTATTTTTGACGGTTGCAATGTCCCAGGATCATGTAATCCCCTTTTGCAACCTTCTGACAAGCAAAGTCAATGGGGAAACCAGATTCACTTAACAACTGTGTTATTAACCTAATAACTGTAGTGATTCACAACTGTGGCAAGAAAGGTTGCAAAATGGAGCAATTCACTTAACAACCATCTTGCTTAACCACAAAAATGTTGGGCTCAATTGTGGTCATAAGTTGAGGATACCTGTCCCCTGGTATCTCAGCCTTGTACCTCTGCAAAGAAGCACCAAATCTCCAGATGAATCTCCTGTTAAAACCTGCCTTAATTTTCCCATTTACTTGGGAGAGGAAAACCCTCATGGCTGCCCTTTGGGTAGAAAGGTGTGGCATCAACTGAAATCATCAAAATAACATTTTTGTCAACTGCAGTAAAAACTCAGGAAAGGCAAATACCTTGAAGTCCTTGTTGTCTGCTTCCTGCAGTTTTTTCAGCCTGAAGTCCCCTTCGCAGGGATTGAGAGCAGAAGGTGGAGCCACGCAGGAGCACTTGCATTCTGGTCCAGAAGTAATTGTTTCCACCATGTAAAAATCCTCAGCTTTGAAAGAGCCTTCGTTGATCCTCTGACATGCTCCTCTGCCCAGGGGTCTCACCACGCACTTGCACTGGCAGTTTGAGCCTTGGGACACCGCCTTCACCTTGTCATAGTCACCTAGCAACTAATCAAGGAAAGGCGGGGGAGAGGAGGGAAAGGAAGTCAGTCAATTTGTCCTGGAATTTTTGGTGGGTTTGCTTTGGACAAATGTTTGGGAGAAACTCTGACATTCTGAATCCTTGAAGAAATGGCTGTCTGGCTTAAAAGGTTGCTGACACTTCATGTTCGCTATTCCTTGGTTATCTGAAAAAGTAATTTTCTTCTACCACCTAAAAGAATCGGAAAGCCAAACCTCAAACTAGTCAACTTGCCCCCAAACAACTTTGGTTTCTCTTGGGTTTAGGGAAATTAAAAGGTTGCTGTGCTCAACGCAGACATTCTCCAGAATGATCTCATTTAAATATAATGGGAACAATCTGTTGGGAAATTCTCTGATTTCTTCAAATTTCATTGAAGTGAACAGAGGAGCTCCACATGAGATCTTTGCATCTCTCCTTTATTTTCATGTATCCTGTACATGAAATCCTGCTGGGAAGACAGGCTATCCTATGTTAGGTATATTTAAGAAGAGTTGCCCTCAGAAAAAAGGAGAAGATACGTTTTTTAAAAAGCCAAAGCTATTACATTTGATAGGAAGCTAGAGTTTCCAATGTGTAATGCTAGTCCTACATAAATAGGACATTTTTCTGGTTGGATTCAAGAGCAAGGCAAAAGTTGTGAAACAGACTGGCACATCCTGCCTAGCTAACACAAGGTTTCAACAAACATTAAACGCAATTCAAAGAATTTCCTTTAAGGGAATATGCCTGGATCAGATACAACCTTGGATAATAAAAGTAGTCAAACGTATGTTTTTCTGATTGCACAGTTCATGCAGATATTTTTCAAGGGATTTTGGCCTCCATCATCCAGGCAGATATGTGCCAAGGGCATTTTAAGCCTTTTTCCTCAGCATCAAACCCAACACAATTTCAATTTACATTGCACAATTACTTCAATATAAATGCATGCAACTGATTTTGCTCATGACAAAGAGGAGGCCCAGCCACCACAGACTGTACAAATGTTGCCATTTGCAGCACTTCTCTCTTTTAGCTGGCTTTAGCTACAAAGGAAAACCAAGAGGAGCTAAGTGAAAGCTGCTGTAGGCTCTACGCACCAGAGGAATTGACAGATAGCATTGCTCCCCCAGCACAATTATTTATGTATATACTCAGCTCTGTTCAATTAGTTGACTAGAAATAACTAATACGTTGTGGGCAGAGGGAGAAGGGAATTGTTGCTTTTAGAAAGGCAACAATCCCAAACCTGGTCTACTAAATGGAGAGACCAGAGATCTACTTCAGAAGGCCTTTTGTCCCAGATATCTGGAGTAGTCAAATGCATAAGGGTGCTGCTTCTGTGTATTTCACAGTTCACAAAGAACACACAGAGAGATAGATTTTAGCAGATGCCCCTTTTCCATATGTTTGCTTCTTCTCCGTGCACTAAAACTACATCTGCTTTCCCTTTTTCTGCACTGATCGACACCTCTGGGTCTAACAGGTACTAGATGAGGACAAAGCAAATTGTGTACAGGTGGAGTATAACGCTATAATGCAAAGCTTGCTGATTCTACCCAATAGAAACCCTTGTAGATTGTTACTGAGTGCAAGGACCCAGCTTTCCTGAAATGAATTTAAGAAGGGTTGATTTAATGCAACATATTCAATTCAAGACATAAACCAGCCTACAATTTTAGGCATAGCCGTTTGGGTGTTAGCCTTCAGCAAGTCCTGCTAAGTTCAAATATTCTTTTAAGTGAAAAAGCTCTTTATTTGGAAGCCTACCTGTAGATTCCTTGCTCTGTTCTTCACTGCCTCTAAAATCATCCCATAAAATCAAGCTTATGTTGAAGACTTAATTGGGATCCCTTAGCTGTGCCAGATCTGTGCTGTGTCAAATTGCCCTCTACAGCATAAACCTCCCTGGACATCTTCTACTTCATGCAATCCAAGCTTATTGGTAAGCCCATTCCAGGATAGATTTCCCTCCCGCAATGCACACAATATTAATTAGTTGTGGAGGACTGTTTGCACCTGTTCAAGAGGCATTTCTCGTGGCTGTTTGTTTGTTTTTGTGCCAGAAGAGAAGCTGGGGTGAGGGATGAATCTGTGCACTTCAAGAGCAGAGTGCCGGAGCCTTTTAGAACTCCTGCAGTCCATTCCCCATCGTTCCTGATGCGACGCTGGGAAATCACCCCGATTCCCCCGCTCCCTTCCAAGGCACCGACGGCTTGCTGCTCGCACCGGCGACGCCTTACCTGCGAGAGAATGTTCTCCTGGTTCTCCGCTTCGTCCTCCAGCGGGGGGCCGGTCGGAGGCGAGCTCAGGCTGGCGTTGGCGGTGCCCCACCACGCCGCCAGCAGCGCCGCGGCGCAGCAGCAGAGCAGCATCCCGGGCCGCGCCATGGACGGCTAGCGGGCGCCGCTGGGGGGAGAGCCGGGCATGGGGCGGGCGCGGCGGCGGCGGCGGCGGCGGCGCACGAGCGGTCGAAGTTTCTCCTCTGCCCGGTTGGAAAGCCAAGTGGACGGGGCGCGCCGGGGGAGGCTGCGAGGGGGGAAGGTGGGCTGAATCGGGCGGCGTTGCTACCCGGCTGAGGGAAAGCGAGGCGGGCCAGAAGGAGGAGTCTCCCTCTTGCCCCCGCTTCTCCTCTGCGGCTATTGTGTCCTCCCGTCTGTCCGCCGCAGGAGCTGCTGTGGGGGAAAAGAGGGCGAAAATACCAGGCTCCTCGTCCTCTGGGGGTGCACTGCCCGAGGCCCAACCCAAAGGCGGCTCTCAAAAGAGTTGAAATCTGCGGCGAAACCCCGGAGAAGCAGATGCTCAGCCGAGGACAGGTTGAAGGCGCTAGAAAGTTAAAATGTTCTACATCCATATGCAGGGAATATGTGGATATGTGCATAGACAATCCTCTAGGGACGCTAGAGCCAAAAGTAAGGCTTCCAGATGTACGTAGAATTGGCGCCTTTCTGCTCAGTTTCAATGGCACCATCAACTGAATCATTATTGGATCCGAGTGGAGGAACCGGCCGCTCATCTCTGAGTTCACAAAAATTCCCTGGTTGAAACTTTTGTTTCATGGCTGGCCAAAATAAAGGAAAGGCGGAAATTGTTTTGTGGAACAGTCTTGGTGGCAACGATTATTTGGATAAGGCCAATTAACTGCAGTTGATTCTCCTCTCCAAAAGAAATGCTGGGAATAGAGCCCTTTCTGGAAACTGGGTAAACTGGCCTTGTTCTGGATAGGTTGCACCCCAATGTAATGTGGAGGTCTCCCTTGATTCAGAATTTTCATTAGAGGGACAGGTGGCTTCAAGGATGAGAAAAGGCACACAGCCAGTTCACTGACCCTGATTATTCCTGGAGGCTTAGCTTGTATTGGCACATACTGTATCTTAATAACCTAATCAATCCATGACATGAAGCCTGGAATTTCCTCCTTGGAGAAGCACACTTTTTTCTTCTGTTTTTGATATCTAATCTGGCACTTTGATTTGAGAAGATTTGCCCTTCTCCTAAGGCTGAGAAAGAAAGAATGTCCCAAAGTCATCCAGCTGCCTTCGTGCATAAGGAGGGACTTGAATTCACTGCCTCTCATTTTCTAGCCTGGTATCTTAACCATTGCAGCATACTGGTTCATGATCCACCCATTTAGTCAGGAGAAATTGTGTTCTAACTCACATGTGAATGATGGTGATCTGATTAGACATCCGTTGGCTGTGTGAAGGACAGTGTCTGGTTGACTGCTCCAGCTTTGGAATCTTTGCTAAATATCACCAGTTGGCAGGAAAATACACAACCATCATGGCAGTAACCTTAGAATGGGGCAAAATCCGATTGTGAACATTTTCACCCTTTCTTTTGATAAATAAAAACACTGGGAAGTGAATGGAATCATGAAGAGATTTGAGTCACACACAGACATAATATTATGCTTAAATACATGAGACCAGATAAAGGAAAAGGAAAAAGTAGGTCTAGTACTCTTGTGCACTTTCACAATTAGGCAAATCCACTTGATCTCTTCCCAGTGTGTCAGAGCCCCAGAAATCTACAGAGAGACAATGTATCTGTCCTTATCATTTCAATACCTACTTGTGCAACAACACAGACCAGAGGCTCAGAGAGAAGTCCATGCCACTTTGCACTTACACACCACTATGTCTGGAATATATTTTACATACCAGGCTGGGCTCTATTCTTTCAGAGAGACCAAGAGAATGGTGGCTAAAGAAGCAGGTGGTCTGGGAATCAGAAAGGCAGAAACATGCCTGTATTGGCCTGAATTGGCTGATCATCTCCCTTCAGGCCATCTAACCTCACTACTGATGGAAGGGGAAGGGACAGGCATCGGATTTTACAAACCTTTGTACTGGTGTTGGATGCTATTGACACAAGGGGAAAACTAAGTCCTAAAATCCAGGCTGAGGTCAGCCTGTCTCAACCATTGGGAATAAGATGAAGACAACGTCGGGAGTCAGAGCAGAAAAAAAGACCTTGCCAATGCATATTTGTGCCATGGTTAAGTGCCAATTGGGAAAGTATCTATGCTTACTGTGTTTTTTCTTTAGGTTTTTTCCTGGCTTTTTAATTATGAAGCAACTATCTTCTGTTTTAATTACACTGTACAGCTTCATAGGCAGGTCTGGGAGAAACATCAGGTTGTGCAGTCCCAAGAAAAGATGCAGCTATTTTAAAGAGCTGCAGGCAGGTACACCCCAACCTGCTTGCAATCTCAAACACTGCAGCGCATATTAGTGTTGGAGAGAGAAGGAAACAGACAGACAGATTGTGTCTGGGACAATTTCTTTAACCATCCAGTCTATTCAATTTAGGAAGACATATTTCCAATCCCTGCGCTTCAAGAAGTGAAGTGGGCAAAACTCAGAGGCAGCCAGTAGAATAGCTTAACCAGTGAATTCCAAGTGGACTTCCACATCTTAGACTTTACAAAAGTATGTTTGCCACACCTTTGGGCTTAAACAGTTTTATCCATATTTTGCTGTTAACATTTAAGGAAAATGTTATTTTGCTTAAATTTTAAGCAACACATTATTATTATTATTATTATTATTATTATTATTATTATTATTATTATTATTATTATTATTATTATTATTATTA